CCATGCCTGTGAAGTTCCTCCCCAACTAGAGTCTCACTCCGCTTAGGTTCACAGAGAAGGCTCCTCTAAGAAGCCCTTTCCCATCCCTTCCCCGGCTCCCCCCGCCCCTGGACCTTTCCAAATTCCAGCCATTCCAAACTTCTTTCACCTCTTCTGACCTCATGTTCTCTCTCACCTCTGAGCCCATGCCTGTGAAGTTCCTCCCCAACTAGAGTCTCACTCCGCTTAGGTTCACAGAGAAGGATCCTCTAAGAAGCCCTTTCCCATCCCTTCCCCGGCTCTCCCCGCCCCCCTTCCCCGGCTCCCCCCGCCCCTGGTTGGGGTTAGGCTTCTCCTATGTGCTCTGGCATCACTCTGTCCCTCTAACATACTGCCTTATTGCTTATAGCATTATAGTGAAGTTTGTGTTTAATTGGTTATTTGCTTGACTAGTCTATAAACCCTTTGAGGGTAGGGCTGTATCCTTAGCACTGGGCAGAGTCTTCGGCATCTTACACTCAGTAAGTATTTATATTGAATTATAATACATGTGTTTGAATATGAGCCACATTATTATTTGGGATATTATCTCATTTAATCCCTGAGACAACCCTATGGGTTGTGCATGATCACGCCCATTTCATGGATGAGCCAACAAAGAGCCCAGGCTTCACAGGCTTTCCACTTCAGAATTCACAATGCCTCGCTGCTGAAGGCTTTTTTTTTTTTAAATCACAGGGCCCTGCTGTACTCCTGGGACTTCAGAGGACAAGGCCCTTTCTTCAGTCAGGCTGACCTAAACAGAGCCAACCCTCTTTCCCCTCCCAAGCCACAGCTGTGTGCTGGAAAGCTAAACCGCTGAGGCCCCTAATAAAGAGCAGACCTCCCAATCTCCTCTTTCCCTCCTCCTCCCCTCACATGGTTTTTCAAATTAAAAGTAACTGAAACCTAAGGCCTAAAGAGAAGGAGAGGGAAGAAGGAGGCAAAACAACACCCCTACATTGGGGGTGGGGGTGGGGCTGTCTCCCAAGGACAAGGGTATCAAACAGCCAGATCCAGAGGGGGGCCAGCCCTGCCACATCTGTCTCCAGCTCTGAGGAGGGTTTGGTCCACCTTGGCTGGGCTGGAGCACAAAACAAGCTCAGTCAACTCAGTAGACAGGCTGTGGTGTTAGGGACCCTTGGTGAGGGTGCCGCGGGTCACCAGCGACAGGGAACTGCTTTCTACTTCTCTGGAGAGAGAGCCTCAAGGAACTCAGAAGAGACGCTGCACCTTTAGATCCGGCCAGCAGCCCCGGAGAAGAGGAGGTGGCTGAGGAGTCCTGGAGAGAGGGTAACTGTCACCCCAAGTCACAACAGTCCGTCTGGACCCTTTAGGAGAACTCTCTCTTCCGAGACTTGGGGCGCTCTGAATTCCGAGCGTGCGAACAGGCTCCTCGGAACTAGTTGCGAGCCTCAGCTGGGGCAGACCCGAGGCCGGGGTGCAGCCCTCCGCCGTCTCCCCGCGGGGACCCCCCACATCTGTGCGCTACACCCACCGGCCTCCTCAGAGCCTTCCCGGCAAAGGCCCGTTGGCTGGGCCCAGGGAGGCAGCTCTTCCAGACGCAGTCAAGGGTTAAAGGGGGTGGGAGAAGGGGCAGTTAGCGCCGTTTTCTTCTGCAAACCACCAAACGGCCCTTCATTTTCAAATCCTGAAGCCAGAAGCACCCCCACCCCCGCCCCGCCCATCAACCTCATTTGAAAAAAAATTCACAAGTTTGTTTAAATGTGATTTTCACAACTAACGGCTTTGATAGCTTTTACAGTCTCACATATTTTCTAAAGCAAAAGGACCTTCGGAATTCTCCGAGCGAAGGAGAGTTGGGGAGCAGAGAAGACACAAAGTCAACTCGACGGGAAACGCCCACGAAAGCAGAAGGTGCGGCGCTCCGAGCTGCAGCCGCCCCTGCCCCAGGAGCTGGGGCCGGGAAAGCGAGCCCGGGAGGCAGGGCAGGGCAAGACTTTTTGTTTTCAGTGACCATTTTGGTCTGGTTATAAAAAGTTCACGGGGCCCCCTTTAGGAAGGGTGACTTATCTGCTGCATATCTTTATACTCTTACACCCAATTTCGTGTCGCCTGCGGGCCTAGGTGCACGAGGCCAAGGCCAGAACAGCTGCGCTCCCCGCCCCTTTTCCCAAACTTCCCGCCAGGTTCAATTTGGGAGTTGGGATTCTTTCCCCTTCGGTCACAGCCGCCAAACTCCTAATTTTGGGAGAATATCCTCATTCCTAATCACTTGATGACCCATCAAGGAAAAAAAAAAAAAAAAAAAAAAAAAAATCCCAAGAGGCTGAAAATCACAATCCGGGCGCAGGTCGGGACCTTTGCAGCTGCCGGAGCCCGCAAAGGGACTGCTCCGGGTGTGTAAGGCGGCCTGGTTCCTCCACGGTGCCCCGGCCAGCCCAGGAACAGTGGAGAAGACCCCGCAGCCCGCCTCCGCCAGGCAGCGCTTCTTTCCCGCTGCAGCTCCGGGACCACCCAAGACCCCAGGCGTCCAGGGAGCAATCTGGAAGGATCTTGGAACAACACGGGCAGAGCGCGGCTAGGCTCGCCCCTCGGCCCCAGACGCCCCCGGCCGACAGACGGGCGCAGACCCGACCTTTCTCGAAGCCTCGGAACAGCCACGGAGGGAGAGCACACGATTCAAACCCGCCTACGAGCAGTGGGAGAGGCGGGGGTTGCGGGGGTAGGACGCGGGTTAAGGAGCCAGCCGCCTCGGTTCGAGGGCCCCCTGCCCCGAGGTCGCTCCTGACCACTGGGTTTGTTTTGCTTCGGCAGGGGAGGCAGATGTTGACCTCTCTTCGTCTTTGCTCGGTCCACACTGGGCGAAATCTTCCCCCAACCATTTGCTTCCCTGCGCCACCCCCCACCAGCGCGCAGTCCCCGGAGTCAGCTCCCCAGGCCTTTAAACTTTTGAGAATGTCACACATGGAAACCTTTAGCAAATGTTTGTTAATGATCATAACAAAGGCATCATTCAAATTAGGCAGGTAATTACTACCAGAAGGACAACTGGGTGCTCGCTTGCTCATCCATTTCTTTCTGCTTTAAACTCCAGAGGAGTTACTGCCCTGGGACAACCCCGCCCGGCCCGCTTTCCAGACCCCTTTAAACGGCTCTGAAATGAACTGTGAAGTTACTCTTTGTGGGCGGGGAGCGCTGGGGCCCTGCGTGCGAGAGACCCCGGCGTGACCGAGCTGGCAGTGTCGCCGCAGCAAAGCCAGCCCTCCTGGTGGGCTCCCTGCCTCGCCTCCTGCCCTCTTGGGTACCTGGTATAAAAACCCACATCTCAACTTGCGTGTACCATAAGCATGAAAGCTGGCATCCGCTTTGCCCTTGTATTCCGCACTCATTTTGGGGGGGTCGTTAGTTCCCGTTCATTATCTACAAACATTACGGTATCCTGTTAGCATTCCGAACAAGGGGCTGTTCATACATTTGCCTTCAATGATTTCCTGAAGGAACATGTGGAAGTAATAGCGAGCAGTGCAGTCACCCGAGCTGAAGATGCACGACAGGCGGGCGCGCAGAAGGGCCGGAGGTATGGGGTCCCCAGCCCAGCCCCCGGTGCCCCTTTACCGAGCCTGTCACCCCAAGATCTTGTTTCAGTTAGGCACCTACCGCGCCCCTTGGAGTACCCTGCCCACTGCCCAGTGTCCACCCTCCTGGTGAAGGAGAAAGTGACGGCTATTAGACGTTCCAGTCTCAACCTGGTCGCCCTGGGCATTTTAAGAGTGCGTGTGTGGAGGTGGGACGGGGTTGGGGGGAGGATGAAGGATGATCCCCATCTCCAATAAGAGAATTCAAAATCGGAGAAATCGAGGAGGTGAAGGCGTTCCCCTCCCCCCGCCCTCGCTCAGCAGCCCCGCTCCGCCCAGGTCTGGTTCCTGGAGCATCAGCGCCCCCTTTCCCTCGCGAGCAGGATCGTTCTTGCCCGACACGGTCTTTTGCCTCGCGCCTTGGGCACAGGGTTTGGGGCTCAGCTCTCAACTCCAGGGTGTCCATTGGGTTCGACCCACGCAGCGGGAGGGTCAAAATGCACCCTCCCACAGGACGCGGAGTTGGCTGGCATGTTGTAGACGATTCCCCAAACGCCCAAGCCTGAGCCTTTTTGTATGAGAGATAGAAGCCAGGGCAACCTCGTCCAGACAACCCCCCAAACAAAGGCACGACGAGATAAGTGGCTCGGAGAGAGTAAAGGTCGTTCTGCCGGAGAACGTTCCGAACTTACGCAGACCCTCGATTCTTTGCACCCCATTTCAGACTCCGTCCAGTCTTGCAAAAAACCATCATCGTCGTATTGGACTCAAAGTTAGCCTAATCCCATTAAAGGATTAGCAACTACACGGCACTTCCCCTAAATGACCCCCAGTTCAAAACAACGCAACCGCTTGGAGATTTCTTCCAAGGGCCCCATTTCTAGTAGAGCCAGGAGTTTCTACAGTGACATTTCTCGATTCGAGATTTATATTCTCTCTGGGCATTAACTGCAATCTTACATGTGCTTTTTCTTCGTTTCAAAGAGAATACAAAACTATAGCAGCGTAGGAAAATATCCCCCAAATTGGGAGGCAAACTCATTCTGGAAATGATGGGCTGTTTGTTAAGTTTCACGAAACCTCTTTCCCGGCAGAGCATCAACACCTCCCCCTTCCACCACCCCCACCCCATCTGGTCTGCCTCTCCCCGCCCTCCAGTTGTTGTCGAAGTCTGGGGGTTGGGACTGGACCCCCTGATTGCGTAAGAGCGAAAAGCAAAGGCGCAATCTGGATATTGGGAGATTCAGAGCGGAGGGAATCCGAGGGAACTTTTATTTTGAAGAGGCCAAGGGGGGGGGGCTTCATTTCCTGACAGCTATTTACTTAGAGCAAATGATTAGTTTTAGAAGGATGGACTATAACATTGAATCAATTACAAAACGCGGTTTTTGAGCCCATTACAGTTGGGAACTACAGGGAGAGAAACAGCGGAGAGGACTGCGGGAGAGGATTGGAGGCCGTGAGCCCACTTTTTACTCCATGTGTAGGATTTCTATTGCTGATTGACATAGGAGGAGAAGGTAAGGAAGAGGAAAAAATCATTTTGTTTCTAAGGGAAGTCTGTGATCAGACTCTGGGGCTGGAAGTAGCTAAGTAACTTCAAACTTCGGGCGATGAGGGGGGGGGAAGGGAACTGAATTCCAGTTGTGTGTCCAGAGAGTAATTTATTCTGAATAAAACTTCCTTGGGGGAGGAGGGGGGAGGAGGGATAACCATAAAGTTAGAAAGTCTGGGGATTTTTTTTAAAAACACACATTTTCCAGACCTATTTTTAAAAGCAATGTTTTTCTAACAACCCCATGGCCTTCCAAAGAAATTGTTTAGGCTTACATTTTTGAGGTTTCTTTTGGAGGTGGGGGTGGTATTCGTGGATCCTGGGACTAGCACCAAGTACGGCTGGGGGTGGAAGCAGAAGTGTCTGCGCTCTTCTTGGCAGTGGGTCCTGGAAGGCGACAGGTTTTTAATGAGTATTTTCATTCCTCGCCCACGGTTTGGCGGGACAGCGCTGCAGCCCGTGGTGTGGAGCGCGGTTGGGGTCTGGCGGAGGTGGGAAGCGGGAAGGGGGCGCGGGGCCAGGGAGGCGTGAAGGGCTCTGCTGGAGCAGGCCGGACTTCGGGTGCCGGTCCGGTGCACATGGCGCCAGCCGAGCGCGCGTAATTACTAGACGGCGCTGCGCCTGGTGAGAGCCGGGGCCAGACTCAGCACGGCGGTGGCAGCTGCAGGACGAGCAGAGGGGCGCGGGCTTGGACCACAGTTTCGGGTGCTCCCGAGCGGTTTGCCGGGGCAGTGAGGTGCGAGGGAGAGCGGGGGCCCGCCCCGCAGTGCGCTCGGGTTGCGCGCCCTAGCGCGGGGGTGACGGCGGCGGCGCTGGCTGGCGGTCTGGAGTAATGACAAACACATTTGGCCCCGAGTGAAGTCGTCGTCGCCTCGCATTCCAGCAACTGGGATTTGAGGAATTTCAAACTGCACTCCGAAGGGCCCTCGTTTTGCGCGGTGGCCCTCGCCCCCACCCGTCTCCGCGCGCCCCCTTCGTCGGTGAAATCTTTTCTGCAAAGCCCCAGGCTCTGCTGCTGCTCGGTCCCGGCCGCAGGCAGGAAAGAGAAAAGGTCTCCAGAAAAGTGCCGAACTTCTTGTGAGGAAGTTACGGAGACGTGGAACTGGGAAACTTGGTTGTAGGTAAGGCAGAAAGGTGGGAGGCGAACCATCTCACCCTCTCCCTTCGGGCACCCGGAGACCTGGTCCCCGCTCCCCGGTACCCTTCTCTGCGCGGGGATGCGTGGCACTCGTCGCCCGAGCTCGTCCTGCGCTGTTTCCTGCTCTCCAGTCGCCCCCTTTCTCTCTTCCTCTCCCTGCCCGTCTCCGCGTACCCCTCCTCCTTCCTCAGCTGTCTATCCCCATGGAAATCGGGTTTTACACATGAGAGTCACTCCTCTCGGCAGCGCCAGGGAAGCGGGCGGCGTCCACTTGGCTCTGAAACAACTGGGATCAGCGGTTCTGTTGGAAAAGTGTCGGCCAGCTCTGAGCGGGAGAGAGTGCGGTCCGACCCGCGTACGGCTGCAGAAGGCAGCCGGGAGCGGGCCAGGTGTGCGGGTGCTGCCGGTGACCTGGCTTCTCCTCCTGGCCCGGAAGGAAGGGCTGGACAGTCTGTCCGCTGTCTGTCTGTCCCACAGCCGGAGCGTCCGCCCCACACTTCGCCCCATACTTAGCTCTGCTAAGACCTCAGGGTGTGCAGGAAAAGTGCCTGGAAGAACTTGTCCCTCCATTTCCCAAGATGGGAGGCAAGCATGGATGGCCCCTATCAGGTCCGGGCCGCTCAGCGCCGGGCCGAGTGCCTGGAAAAGCCCCGGGCTGGGCGGTGTGGGAAATGGCTTTTTGGCTCCGTGGCTGAATTGCTCAACGTTTTGGGCCGACTCGCCTCGCCGCGGTCGCTCTCCACTAAAACTAGGCAGCTTTTTGGAGCAGGGGGAGACATCCAGGGAAACGGAGCACCACAGTCCTCAGCTGCACACCTCTCTGGACTGACACCCCAGATCCCCACGGGCTTCAATCCTCTGTAATCACAGGGGAGGAAGGGCCCCCCCCGGGCATCTCACCTCACCCGCTGCCGCGTTGGCTTTGGTTTTTAACCTCCCACCCCCCAAATCTGGCCTGCCCGGACCCTGGCGCTGCTGCGCTGCATCCCGTCCCTCCTCCCCCTCTCTCCTCAGCCTCCGCCTTTTTACAGTCCTCAAGGTGAGGGCCCTTCCTCGGCTGCCCGACAGGAGTGGGCCCCACCAGCCTCGCTTTGCCGTCTTGGCGAATCCCTGCTTCAGGGCTCTTACACGGTCCTACTTTGAGATTGACCCAAGTGCAGCTGGACCTCGCTCACGAGAGCGACGGGGACGGGAGGAGAGGGGGGCGCCGGGAACGAGCCCGTCGTTGGCCCCCGGTGGCCTGGCTCTTGCTCCAGTCCCCAGATTGAGAGGGACTTAAAGCAGAGCCCGGGCTCCCGGCTCTCGGCCCAAGGGCCGCTTTCCTCCCGGGGCGCGGGCAGGGGAGGGATGCAGGGGGAGGGGCATCGGGCTGGGCTCTCCAGCTGCAAACGCGTCTGGCGCCGAGGCGGGCCCGTTTTGTGCCTCCTGGGGACGGGCCGTGGGCGGCGCGCTGCTCCGGGACGGGTCCTGGGGACGTGGTGGCCAGCGCCTTCCTGCAGACCCCGGCGGGCGGGACTCCCTCTGGCCTCCGGGGAGCTGCGACCAGGTTACTTGTTGCTAGTGGAAAAGTGGCAATTCTGGGGAAAGAGCCGAAAGCCAGCTTGGTGACCGAAAGGTGCGGCTCTTAGCGTCCCTGGCGTCCAGCTCGCGGGATTCGCCCGCAGCATCAGCCAAGGGTGGGGCGGGGGACAGAAAGGATCTTGCGGGCTCGCCCCTGGTGGGGACGGAGGGGCGGTGACGAATTGCATCTCTGGAGTGAGTGCCTCTCGCTCGGACTCTGCCGTGGTCGTTGTCTTTGGTTGAAGTGGCTCGGCGGCATTTCCTTTTGCTTTAAACTGAACGGTGAGCCAAGGATGGGATGGAAAAGTAGAGTGTAGGAGGGGGTAACTGAAGCCTTTGACCTGGGGCGCTCTTTACCTGTGTCCTACTGAAGTCCTCTTTACCTGTCTCTTACTACGGTCCTCATCCCCAGTGAAAGAGGAGTGGGAGGCGCGGGGGGGCGCAGGGCGGGCGCTGCAGAGGCGAGCGTTGGGCAAGGTGGGCGCCGAAGGAGGCCTGGTTTTTAAAAGCTGAGGGGGCGCAGGCTGCGCTCGCCCCGGCCTTCCCCGGTACCGCAGTCCGCGGCCGTGCGGCTCTCGGCCCATAGGAGGCGCTGGCGCGCGCCTGTAATCCTAAACCCCCGGCCCCTCTCCCTCCACCCCGCCCGGGCCCCTCTCAGGTCTCAGTCGAAAACAATGCAGACGCCGAGAGTGGTGCCTGGGGCGCGGCGGCCTCTGCACCTCCGAGGCCGGGAGCGCAGCGAGCAGGGGTGCGGGACCCCGGAGCGGCCGGGCGTCGCCACCAACCCCGGAGCCACCGAGCCGCCGAGGGCGTGGAGGAGGCGGGCGGGCAACGGCCCAAGCCGTGTTCGTATGGGTGTGGCGGGGGCGGGAGCCGGACAGTGCCGGGGGCTGGACGGGGCCAGCCCGGAACCTCCCCGGCCAAGGGTCGCC